TTGTATCCTGCAGTTCACTTTTTAGTTATGGTAGTTGTTTTGTTATTCCTTAGGATTTTCTACATAAATGATAGTGTCATCTGTAAATATAGGTACTTCTACTTTTTCCTTTCCAATCTTAATGCCTTTTATTTCCTTTTCTTGCCTTAGTGCAATAGTTAGAGCCTCCAGAGTGCTGTATGAAAGAAGTGGTGAAAAGCAATCTTCCTTGCCTGTTCCTGAACTTTAGAAGGAAATAGTTCAATAGTTCACCAATAAGATGATGATAGTTATAGGTTTTTCATAAATGCTCTATCAAATTGCAGAATTTCATTTCTATTACTAGTTTGCTAACATTTTTATCATAAAATGGGTATTTCTTTTGTCTAATGATATTTTACAATGTTGTTCTCTTTTATTCAAATATGATTATACATATTGACTTTTGAATGCTCTACCAACCCTGCTTCCCTGAGATAAACCTTACTTGTCGAAATGCATTATCTTTATAATATATTGCTGAATGCTATTTTCCAGTATTTTGTTAAGTATTTTTTAATCTATGATGTTCATAAAAGATATAGGTCTTACTTTATGTACTGTCTGTTGGGTTTGGTGTTAAGATTATGCTGACCTCATCAAATAAATTGGGAAGTGTTCTTCCCTCTGTTTTCCAAAAGAATTTATATAAGATTGGTGTTATAGCTTCCTTAAATGTTTAACAGAATTTGGCAGTAAAATTATCTGGGCCTGGAACTTTCTTTAATGGAAATTTTTTATAATAAACTCAATGTTTATAGATATAGGACTATTCAGATGTTCTGCTTTAATGTCTTATCAGTTTTATTAAATAGTAGTTTTCAAAACATCTTTCCATTTAATCTCGGTTGGCATAAGTTTGTTCACAGTATTCTTGTATTTTCTCTTCAATGTCTATAATAATTCTAATGATAAACCCACTTTTGTATATGATATACTGGTAATTTGTAACCTTCTTTTTCCCTGACCAGTGCAGCTGGGAGTTGATTTTGTTGACCTTTACAAAAGGCCAGTTTTTGGTTTTGTTAAGTTTCTTTATTGTTTGTGTGTTTTCTCTTTTGTTGAATTCTGCTCTTATCTTTACTATTTTCTTCCTTCTACTTACTTTGGATTTATTTTGCTCTTCTTTTACTAGCTTCTTAAGGTAGAACTTTGGGTCATTGACTTTAGACTTTGTATTCTGACATAAACATATAGAGCTGTGAATTTCCCTTTAAGTTGCTTTAGATGCAACCCATAAATTGTGATGTGTTGTGTTTTTATTATTACTTAATTTAAAATCTTCCTAATTTCCCTCGAGATCCTTTCTTTGATAAGGATTATTTCAAAGTGTGTTGCTTCAAATGTCAGAGTTTTCCTAGAGATCTGTCTCAGTAAACTATTATCATAAAATTGTCTATTTTTCTTTTTAATTTTGTCTAATTTTACTTTATGCATTCTAAACCTCTGTTATTACGATAGCAATGTTTCCCTGATGAATTGATCTTTTAATTGTGATGAAATGTCTCTATTTATCTCCATTATAGCTTTTTTGCACTAAAATCTATTTTATGTGACATTAATATAGCCACCGTATCTATCCTTCTATTGTTTATTATTTATTGAAAACATTTTTCCACTCATTTACTTTCAACCTATGTCTATATATTTAAAATGCACCTCATATGCAGAATATATCGAGTTGAGTCTTGCTTTCTTATCCATTATGACAACTTCTGCTTTTGAATTACAGTGTTTAGTTCATTAACATTTCATCTATGTATGGACAAGAATGGAAATAGGTCTGTCATTTTTTAATTTATTTTCTATTTTCTCCATTTTGTGTGTGTATGTGTATTTCATCCTTCTGTTCCTTCTTTCCTCCCTTTTTTGGATTATTTGTATATTTTTAAAAAGTATAGTACATTTAAATATACCTATTAGCCTTTTCACTATGCCTCTTTGCATTAGTTTTGTTAGTTAATTGCTTTAGGGATTATAATGTACATCCTTAACTTCTCACAGTCTGTTTAGGGTTAATATAGTACCACTGCATGAACAGTGTAGAAACCTTATAGTCTTATATGTCCTTGCTATTTATACTATAGATTCATATGTATATATATTATATCTACACACATTATAAATCCCACAATATAATGTCATAATTTTTAGTTTAAGAATCCATAAATTTTTTAAACTTTTAATACTTCTTGATATTTACCTAGACATTTATAATCTAATACTCTTCATTTCTTCCTGAGGATCTGAGTTTCCATCTGGTATCATAGATCTTTAACTTTAAAAAATGCTTTAGCATTTCTGGCTTTATTTTATTGATGAAACATTTTTTTTGTTTTCCTTCTTGAAGGATATTTTTGCTAAATACAAAATTCTGAGTCCACAATTTTTTTCTTCTAGCACTTTAAAGGTATTGCTCGACTATCTTGTGGCCTTCATAGCTTCTAATGAGATGTCCACAAACATTGTTATGTGTTGTTCTTCTGCCTGCTCTCAAGATTTTCACTTTGTCTTTGGTTTTCAGCAGTTTGATTGTTAGGCCTAGCGGTGATTTTCTTTGTATTTATCCACCTGTGAGTTCACTAAATCTCTTGAATAATATTCAATTACAGAACTTAAGGAATTTTCTGCCATTGTATCTTCTTCTTTTTCTTTTTTCCATTCATCCTTTCTCCTCTGTTCTGGGATTCCAGTTACACGTGTGTCAGACCCTTTGCTATAATCTCTGTTCATTTTTTAAAATTTTTTTCTTTTTCTTCCTCAGACTGGATAATTCCTATCGATTTATCTTCAGGTTTGCTGACTCTTCTATTTTCTTCATCCTGCTATTGGACCTATAAAGTGAATTTTTAATTTAATATATTGTATGTTTTAGTTCTGGAATTTTCATTTGGTTCCTTTCATCATTTTTATTTCTCTGCTGATATTTATTGTCTCTTAATTGTGAACATGTTTTAATTACATCTGTGTGCATAGTTGTAACAACAGCTCGAAAATCCTTAACTGTTAACATTAACATCTGGGTTATCTCAGGATTGATTGATTTTCAGGTCTTAATTGATTTCTTTTCTCATGAGAACAGGTCACTTTCTTTTGGTTCTTCAAATGTCAATAAATTTTGAATTATATCCTAGACATTATAAATATTATATTATAGAGACTCTGGAGTCTGTAATATTTCTCTAAAGAATATTTCATTTTGTTTTGAGACAACTGATTTTACTTAAACTGCAAACTCTGACTCTAGAGTGGTAACTGAAATCTCAAATAAATTATTGCAGTCTTACCTGAAATTCATCCTGTGGTGAATAGTTCAGGGGCCAGTCATAAATTTGAGAAGAATTTATACACCAACTTAGGAATTTACTCTCAATTTCTTTTTCCCTGGACTCCCCACTCACTTTCCAAAAGTTGTGATTGTCCCAAGCTCTGCCCTCTTGTTCTTCAAGTCCTATTTCTGAAGGAATTTTAGCTAAACCACATGGCACCTACTTTGACCTGCCTGTTGGCTGAAAGTTAAAAAAAAAAGTAACTCCCCCTAAGCTGATCTCGTTATCCAATGGCAGCTCTTCTCCAGTATCTTCCTGCTTATGTTTATTCCCCAGTGCCTTCAGATCATTGTGTTGGAAAGGGGGTCTGTTTTGTTTTTTGTTTTTGTATTTTGCTATAGTCTGTAGTTGTTTTCAGGGAGGTTTGGGTCCTGTTGGAGCTACTAAACTATAACAGAAGCAAAGCTCTTTCCTTGCTCTTTGATTATGAATACAATATAAAAGTTATTCTTAAATTTAAAAATGGCTAAATGATATAGTTTATGTTTCATATATATATATACACACACACACACACACATATATATAACTTAAATAAAGGCATTTTAAAATTAAATTAGAAAAAAGTACAATGACTCTAACAGAACTTCAATAATTCATATACAAAAGAAAAATGCTTTTGCAGAGCCATTATGAAAAAGACTAAATCGATGTTGTTCTGGAACAGCAAAGCACAAAACACAGTATCATTGAGAGAAACAAAAGGAGGAACAATGTATTTTAAAGACACAGTGAAGGGGCTTGACCCTTCATCTGCACAAGCATTCCACCTACATCTTAGTCCAAAGCTTCTGCAATTTTAATTTGCATACAAATTACCTGAGGATCTTGTAGTGCATAGCTGTAAAAAGATCCTTGGATCTTTCACTTATACATGAAACCCTGTGATTTTCCCTGATACATGAAACTATGTGACCTATATTTTACTTGTATTTTAATTATCTGGAAAGACAGAGGATACAAAAGGTGTAGAGTGACAGACAGGTGGAGAATGGTGGGGCTCTCTAAGCATGTCTGGTCCTGGTTCGAGAAACATGGGCAGTTCATGAAAAGAATAGCTCTTTAACAAAGCATCACTCTAAAAGTACACAAGACTGAGTGACAATATAGACCATTTTCATGGACATTATACCCTCTTCAGCCATACTCTCCTCTTGGCTAATTTCCAGTGGATCCAATAGATACTGTCCTATATAAAAGATGAAAAATTAGTGTTTCATATTTGATGTCAATGGCAGACATCGTTAATTAATCCTGATGTACTTTCTCAGTAAGCCTAGATTCAAAATCTGTCTGAACATGGGATTTAGGGTCACCACTGAGGCTGACACTTATTTTCCTCTAATTGTAGAGCCTTTTTACCCTAAGGTAGACAGTAGTCAGGACGACAGCCAGGAATTCTCCTCTCTAGTTAGGCAAAGACTTAACTGAAGAACCTAATCAACAGAGTATGGGCAAACATGCATCAGTCTGTTCTCCCTTCAATCCCTAAACTACAGCCAGCTAACAACTTTTGTGTACAGAAGTGGAGAAATGACTTCAGAAAATGCTTTCAAATGCTTATAACTTTCTTGACATCTTTTTGGGGAGTAGGGCTTAATGAATGTCTATTTCCTACCGTGACATATCCATTTGACTTAGATAGTGCCTCACCTGACAATTTATGCATACACCTCCACCTGCATAGATGCCTTGGGTATTCAAGCTTGCCTGCTGCTTCTCAACTTCTGCATCGTAGTAACAGTTGATGGCGTGGCCATGGCAGTTGCATGCTGAAAAGGGCATTCTAGGTTAATATTGCTTCAGGACTACAAGACACTTAGTAAATTCTCCCAGAGAATATTACTGCTTATTGAGCTACAATAAAGTCCCTTTTGGAACATCAGGGACACTCTCATTGGAAAATTTTAGGGACTTTGACATAAAGTTCAATCTATAAATATATGCAATTTGTAGCTTCTTTCATTTGATATTAAGTGGGAGAGGTTAAGTTATCACGTACAAAGAGAACATCACTATTACCACTAATACTACTATTAACGAGAATAATTGAGTTCCTGGTACACTGTAAAAAGTGCTTTACGTGCAATATCTCAATTAGTGTAATAACTCTCTAAGGCAGATGCTGTTATTCCCTTAGGCGAGATGTGGAGGCTGAGGCTTAGAGATGTTAAGGGATGTGCCTCCAGGTGCACAGCTCATAAATAAGAGAGGCAGAATCCTGAACTGTCTTTGTTTGACTCCAAAGCCTGTTCCCTAAGCCCATATTCTAAGCCTTTCATCTCAGCACTATTTATGATAGCAATAAATTGGTAATAATCTTAATGTTCAATTATAAAGAAATGGCTAAGCAAATAATAGTATTATTGCTTGACTTTCTGTTCCAAAAAGTCAAGAACTACTTGAGTTTCATTTACACTAGAGCACATTCTCCAGAACATAGTGGGAACTCAACAGTTAACACTTTTTGGATACACTTAGATCCACAAGATGACAATATTATGTGCCATCAGAAAGGATACCAAAGGGTTTTTAATAAATGGGGAAATATCTAAAAATATCAAGTGAAAAATATCAGGATGTAAAATTGTATAATACCCTATTGAATATTTAAAGTAAGTGTGAGAAAATACTAAACTACCTAAAAGATATTAATAGTGGTCTTCTTTGGGTAGTAGAATGATTGGAGATTCCCCTTTTTTAAAAATAATTTTTAAGTTTTCTACAAGTAATGTATAATAGTTTTAAAATTAGAAAATCTAACTTAAAACCCACTTATGATTTTTATCATTGCCAAGATGAAAAAAATCTTAAATGAGTAAAATTCTTATTCCCTTTTATGCAAAATATCTGTTCATTACATTCTGTCTAGATCAACTTTTCTAAGTCTTTCTAGCAATTTCTATGTTTTAATCAAATAAATCTATTAAGAAAGAAGATTGAGTTAGACTTCCAAGTTGTCCTATTTTTAAAAGGCTGAGAACTTTCTTATTTTCATTTCCTCAGTAGTACCATGATTTAAAAAAGAAAAAATTCCAGGCATTTATGTTTACTACCCCAGTCATTTCTTAGGAAGTCTGTTTATTCTGACTTTAGTTCAAATGGAATTTAGAAAGTACCTAACAAATAGATCTTCATTCCACATGCTGTTTTTGTAACTTTTAACCATTCAGACAACTGTAAAAATATTAAGAGGAAGTTAGTTAACACTTTTCATGTTGTAAGAGTAAAGCACATCATTCTCTGAAATTCAGTTTCATTAATTTGAAAAACTAACCAAATTGTTAATGTTGGAGTTCATGTGATGACACTAATTCAATCAAGGTGTCCTAAACCAGACTCACCCCTGATTATTACCTTTCCCTCTTTCTAGTCCCCTCATCCAGGGGTGAGGAATGGGGACATTACTGAGAAAGTCATTCTTCACTTGACCATAAAGTGAGAACAGCCATCCAGGGAACACCCCTGGACCTGGAGATGCATCCGAGCGCTCCCTGGGGGGAGCACCAGCACTTTCCGACCGCATCAGCATCTGTCACCACACTCTTGGAGCTCCTCGCTGGAAACTCCTTTGAGTAAGTTTGCTGATCACAGAGATCGTCAGTTTTATTTCTTAATAGTTACAAAAATATTTGGTCAAAAAGTGTAAAGTACAGATTCTTTCTTACTCACCTAGTTCTACAAACCTAGATCCAAACACTTTTTGGTCATTTCAAAAAAAGCAAATCCATCTTCAATCCATATACTAAAGATATTCAGGGGAAAAAAGGGACAAAGTCTCTAAAACCAATAACTAAACTTTACAAAAAATGTTTTTCAAGAATTGGAGTAAATATGTGGCTTCCTAAGAAGAGCAGTTTAAAAGAAAACCCTCGGTTGGATGTCACAGGGCTTGTTTGTTTCCTTACTTCACATTGCACCCGTAATTAACAGCAGCCTCTCATCTTTTTTCCTTCCTTCTCTGATCTCTTCTGTCTGCACCTGCCAGCGTCCCACTACAGCGCCCCTCCCACCACTGCCCCCCCACCATGCTTCCAGCTCTCTGCTTAGCCACCAATCTCACCACCTGTTCTAGACCTCGGTCCTCAAAATAGTTAGGATTCCAATCCAGCATCACATCCCAACGAATGATAAGGGTTTGACATTTAATAGTGGCTGCATCATATTTCAGATAGGTAAAAAGAGAGGCCAATTTATGTTAAAGCACTCAGCCCAATCCTTGCATATTGTGATTGCTGTTATGATTTTTCTTCTTATATTTATATCTGAATTTACAGTGGGGCACTTATACCTCTAGTCTTTGAGTTATTCATTACAATAGAAAGACCCGTGTCCCTAAGACTGACATGATCCCACTCTCTTCACAAGCAGGAAAAAACACAGCATCAGTCCTCAGGTAGAAATGGGAGGAAACGCTGGGAGGGGCCTCATTTCCCAGCACCCCTCCCCTGTGCTCACCTTCACACTCATTGCTCTGCTCCCACGTGGCAGGCTGCCAGTGCCGCTGACTGTACCCAGCGCAGCAGTGATCACAGGTCTCCCCGCAGGTGTGGTGTTGGCACTCACACCGAAACCTGGGCAAGGGGTGAGGCAATCTCGGTTATTGGAAGGTTTTCATGAAGATCATTTGTTCCTGTATGAAAAACTGACAGTCACCATGGTCACCCATGGTACCATGTATAGAGTAATTATGAGAACAAAGCACTTTGCATATATTATTTCAAGTCTTCCCCCCATCCTACTTATTATCTGTTTTACAGATGTTGACATTAAGATTCAGAGATACTAAAACACGTGCCAAAGGTCAGTCCATGATAAATGAAAGCTAGATTTCAAACCTGTTTGTCTGACTCCGAAGTCTCAGCTCTTTTTTCACTACCATACCATATTACAATACACCAACACATTAGCAACCAGGACTGAGTTTGCTGAGATGTGTGGAGTATCGCCTCTTCACAAAGATCTGGAGTCATCCTATGAGAAAGGTCTACTCAGATACCTTGCTCCCGACCTGGGGCCATCACAGAGATTCACCAGGCCCAAGAGACGGTTACCAATGAGACCTCAAAGGACCTGTCCCAGGAGCCCGTGCCAGCTCCAACTGACCACTTCATCCTTGGGCCCAAAGCTGAGATTGCTCAGCAAGGCACGGGGGTAAAAGTCTTTAAAAACCTACCTTCAAAAATGTATACATCTGCCTAAAAACTTTTCAAAATTACAGTGAAATTGTTGTAGCCATGGCATTGGATTAGAACTCCAAGTTCTGAGCTCCCACTCATCGGAGCTTGAAAGGATTCATAAGAAGTAAAAGAAAAAAGAAAATTGCATCAAATATATTATTCTTTTTGGTAAAGCACAATGCTTTAAGTGTGACCCAGTTAAATGGTATATATGTATATGTAAATATCTAAATAAAGAAGTGAATTTAATAAATAAGATACAGAGGAATAAAGGGGAAAAAAGGCTCTTGGCTGTGCCTGTGAGGATTCCCTCATTTCTACAGTGGGGAGATGGGAAGGCAAATAGTTACATGCCTAATAGTAGGTGCCATCCCCTCTCAGCTCAGCTGCCTGAGAAAGCAAATGGACATCGATGTAACTGGCAGCAAAGGACAGCTGGAGTCCAAATGGGATTTTGTGAGATGATTGCAGTTCATTGCCAATGACATCTTTGCATAAACTGGACTAAAAGAATTATTTAGGGAAGATGGCTTGAAGAACATACAGTGTAACTGCTCTTATACGGAGATAAAAATTGAGCATAGCAAAAAAAAAAAGCTGGGTACTTGTCTGAATCATATTGGTACCCCCAAATAATTGCTCGTTCTGACTTTAGTGTAGAAAACTGACCCTTGCACCTACCTTAAGAACTCTCTTACAGGCACTGACTAGGGAATCCTCTTCCTGATGGCCACTCTGCCCCACCCCAGGGAAATGTGTTTCCTCATTCTGATGTTAACAGTCATGCTTCTCCTGAGCAACTGGTTACTTTTTAGATTATGATCATAGTGAAATATGAAACTGAGCAGTTTTCTCTTTTTGATCGGACTTCTAGGGAGCTCAGAATCAATTACGTGATCAATCCCCATTTCCATGCATCAAAGTCAGCATGGTATGCATGCTTAATTAAAGCCCCCTTCTGCCAGTTCTTCTTGATTAGCAACTAACTTTTCTGATTGTCCAGCTTTGGCTTCCTTCATTAAGTCACTGCGTCTCCGTAAGTATAAGACTTTTTTCCTATTCATGGATGTGGATTTTAGCAGCATTTGTGCAAGCCAGCTGGTTGATCAGAAGCAAACAAACACGTAGGAGGAGGCAAGGCAGTTGTGCTGGTGTAGACAGGTGGCAAACTGAACCCCTCACCAAGGCATGGAGAGATGGCCTCTCCACTCACATGCACCCAGCAGCAACTCCTCCAGGTCTGCAGAGTCGACAGGGCATGGCAGTCCTTCCTAGAGGGGAAATTCAGACTCCTCTGTTGACTTTACTATCCCATGTGGAGCTGTTTAGTCTCAGGGTCAGAAACAACAGACCAACCTGCTTGCTTTCCTCTCTCTAATTTGGACCTGACTTCTAGTCACCAGGGTGATGGGTTAATCATTAATAAAAACGTCCTTGCCAGTTAAAGGCAAGCAGGTTGTGGGATTCACACTGTTATCTCAAACAGCACCACCTGATCCCTGAAGGAGGAGTGACAAACTCAGGGACTGTTGCTGGTCTGGAATAAGGGCCTCACAAAGCACCCGCATAAGCTGGGAGCTGGCACCTCTGCCTGAACACAAAACCAGGCCTAACAATGCACACACCTGAATCTGACTGAAGTAAAATGTGTCTCTGGTAAATGCTACTCATGGGGAAACGTAGACTTTAAATGAAACACTGAGAAAATTATTACTGTATCTAGCATTCCAGTAACTTCTAGTCCTTAAATGTATCTCTCGTGGTGGTAACACAAATGTATGCAATTGCTGAACACTTAATATTTAAAATCTATGCATCTAATTTTATGTGAAATACACTTCAATTAAAAACAAAACTGGGTACAACCATGTTCGTAGCCAAAAGGTAACAGTTACCTAAGTGTTTATTGACAGATGAGTGGGTAAATAAAATGTGGTGCATCCATAATGAAATATTATTCAGCATCAAAAATAAAGGAACTACTGATGCATGCTACCAGATGGATGGACCTTGAGGACATAATGCTGAGTGCAATAAGCCAGTCATAAAAAGACACATACTGCATGATTCCACTTATATAAGGTACCTAGAGTAGTCAAAATCACAGAGGCAGAGAATAGTGTGGTGGTTGTCAGCAGCTTGGGGAGGAGGGAATGGGGAGTTGCTTAACCGGTATAGAATTTCATTTTTGCAAGATGTTCTAGAGATTGGCTCTACCACAATGTGAATATACTTAACATTACTGAACTGTGCACTTAAACATGGTTAAGATTCTAAACTTTGTATTATGTGTATTTTACCAAAATAAAAAATGGGAGGAAAGGATTTGAATCTATATACCCCGATCCCACTAGATCCAGGATGACTAACACATATTATTTCTCTTGGCAACACTAATCAATTATTTGTGCCTGCCTGTAGCACTGTCTGGCTGGGGTGAGGGTTGATGGGGGTTGGGGCGAGGGTTGATGGGGGTTGGGGCAGGGAATTAGAGATATTTAATGGGATGCAAACATTCACTGAAACAATTAGACTTATTCATAGCAAGGCTAACGAATCTGTACAGTGTACTTACAGTTTTTCAGGATTGTTTGCATTGCACACTTCAGCATGGCCATTGCAAGCACACCGCCCACCGATGCTGATGTCCTTTATGCTGTAATAATACTATGCAACAGAAAACACAATGTGTCCATTTTATACAAAAGCAACAAAGACTTTGCTTTATTAACCCTTAATGAATATCTATACTGGACCCGCTTCTCTTTCATTATGTTATCTTTTTTTAAGATATTCATTTACTTATTTTTAGAGAGAGGGGTAAGAAGGAAGAAAGAGAGGGAGAGAAACATCAGTCACCCCCAACCAGGGACCTGGCCCGAAGTCCAGGCATGCACTCCAGCCTGGGAATCGAATCAGCAGCCTTTTTTGGTTTACAGAACAGCACTCAACCCACTGAGCCGCACCTGAGCCTACCTCAACTCCAAGGGAGCCACATTTGGATGTAATTTGTCTTATAAAAATAAATGCATCCCTCAATCAAATTTAATAGCATAATGCTGAGTTTGTACCTTTTTAAAAACCAAATGCTTTAAATGCATGGAGGGAAATTGCCTTGGGAAAGAATTATACCCTTTAGTCTTTTGGAAAGAGATTAAGTGCTTCCTAGCTTATTTTTTAAATGTAAATCTGGGTTTCATAAGTTAAATGTATTTATTCACGAAAAATAAATTTTCGAATACAAAATTTTGCCCCTACCATGCACGTGCAGGCTTTGCCAAGGGAGAGAGTGTTTACAAAGATGATCTGATACAGTGCTCTGAGACTGGGAGGTGCCATCAGCAATTGCTGAAGCCTTGCTAACTCAAGGTTAATAAGGCCAAACACCAAAGTTCAAGCTCCAAAAGGCCACACAGATTAAGCTTCAGACATAGCTGAGGATTGGCCCCAAAGCCAGGCCACAAATATGGGTGGGCCGTCGCAGGGACAGGGCACCATCTCTGGTGGGTTGCAGGCCTCTGTGCTAGTGCCAACAGGTGGCACTGTGTGACAGGTCCCTGACTTCTCAGGCTTGGAGGGAGATGCACAGGGTTCAGTGAGTACTTTGGGGGGGTTAGAATAATCTTTCTATCATGAACACACCTGCCAGTGAGAAAGTCTTTGAATTCACAAGGATAAGGGGGTTTTGTATCTTTTTGCTATTGCTGCTGAGATCAGTCATCTTAAAGTGCCCTATTCATGTGATATTGAGGTTCCGTTCTTATTTCCTCTTTAAAAACTGTTGAAGTGTCTAAGCTTCCTGGCAACATCTTACTTAGTCTGAAGGCATCTACAACCTTTCTTGTTAATATGGATAAATTCAGTATTCAAGGGCTTTCTGTGATACATTAACACTCAGAGGCCTCTCAGCTGATCACTATGGAAGTTTCTCTTTGCATATATATGTGTTACAGGTGGCAGCAGCAAAAGCACGTGATCAGCTTTCACCCCACAGCACTGCTGTTCCTCCATTCAAAGAAGCAACTTAGATTTTGGGATTCGAGATTATATGTTGTGTGCTCCATTAAAAATTGCTTAATAGAGAAGACTGCATTCACCTAAGTGAAAAGAAATATATATACATAACAGTATAAATCTTTCAACCCCCCCCACAAGACAAATTTTTTAAAATGATGGTGAGCTACATTTGTAGCAGAGCTACTAAACACCTGGAGAAATGGAAACATAGTCAGGCCACAGTTTATCAGAAAGCCCGAGTTTCCTTGTAAATTCCATCCTGGGATCCAGGACAGTTCCCACATACAGCAGCTAAGAGTGCTAACAGTGCAGGAAATGCAGAAGACAAGCCACCTACACCCAAGATAACAGGACTTTTTGAAAATCCTTAAAACTGTAGCAAAACTTACTTTTCTCTCTTCCTTTTCCAGCTCTCTAATATTACTTACATAAGAAGGCAAACTCTATAAGGTGCATAGGTCACCTTCCATTCACCCTTCCAGGTCCATTCTCCACCTTTCTCCACCCTGCTCTTGGCCCTGAGGCTGAACTTTATGGGCTGCAACATGGGTCTCTTGCTCTCTGGCTCTCTAGTGGGTTTGGTCACAGCAGGAAATCAGAGGGCAGGAGAACAGAGAGCTGGGAGTATTTGTTCTGATGGTCCCCTCCGTGCCCAGGAGACAGGGGCACTCTCCTGACACTGAGTGAGAGATGTCCAGGCTATACATCCAACATGGTGAGAGCACCAGTGCTCACCAATCTCTGTGTTGCCTCTGCTTTGGCTAGATTACATTTCCCAGCCTCCTGCATCTAGGTGGGGCTATACGATCAGTTCCTGCCAATGGAAGTGACCTGTGTGGCTGGGAACATGTAGGTCTCCTCTGCCCTTTCTCTCTTCCATCATCTTCTGACCAGATGCAGGGGACCCAGGGAAGACCCTGAGGTCCCACAGGCTGCACATTTAAATTTAAAAAGCCGTGTTCACTGAATGACTTTGTGGAGCCAGTCCCACTTGCTGAGCACATTAGACTGCCACATGAGCAAAAAATGAACCTTTATTTTGTTAAGCCTCTGAGACTTGGGGACTGTTTGTCATTATATCAGACTAATACCACACTGGCTATCATTCTTTGCCTTTCATCTTCTTTGAATATAGTCATTTTTCCTCAAAAAGCAAACTTCTAATTTATGTCTAGTATTTCAGACAAAACCAACTCCTGTGTCAACACCATTACTTGCTGTAAACATTACTTGAATGAGTTCAAGGCAGTTAATTTGATAAGAAAAATAAAAAGTTGAAAAAGTTGCTGCCTAGGCACCTACACAGCACGACTCACCCTCCGAGTGACAGTTGGGTCTCGCTGTGCTTTGGAGATGAGGTGTCCGAGAAGGGTGTTGGTTCGGAGGAAACGCAAGCGTATGTTTGTGGCCTTGGTGAAGTCCCTCAGAGTGTGGGAGAAAGTAAAATTTTTCGCACCAGGACGGCCGTTTATCAAGGATACCACAACCTAAAATAGCAACATACACATAGACACACAGAGGAAGAAAAAGTCCTTTCATCAAAATGCAGTAGCAAGTAACTATAAATAATTCATACATCCCAAAGCAGTAGGTTTCCCTGAGTCATTTGATGTTTGTAGGTGTTGTTGGGTCTTGTTTATGTCTAAAAACATTGCTAGTTCATCTTCTCTTTGAATTCTGGCAATCTGTCCTGAAACCTGAGTTCTCAGAAGACGTTAGTTATCATTTCCTTTCCAAGCCCTTTGATCTATCAGTGTAGTTGTGGGGCTGTAATGCTATGAAATGTTGAAAATAGAATGTTAAAATATATAAATATAAGGAACAACTTTTTGTCAAGCTGCATCAAAGAAACAAAACCAAGGTAATCAAAACCTCAGTGATGTTTAAAAAAGAGTCTCTGCATTTAACGTTGACAGTGAAGGAGATAAAATAGCTATACAAAACCAAGGTTTTATTTAAAGCTTGAGGTAATGAAGTTCAAGTCCCAACCATCTGAGACACGAACCACTCACCACTCACTGCAAGATACCGGATAGAGCTACTCAAGATCTTTCCACCTACAGAGGGGGAGACAGATACCCTTTAAAAAGCTTACTTGAAATTCACTTCAAGCTCATTATGGCCTCACAATTTCCATGGAATTCTTCTCTGATTTTGCCCACCTCTGTTTCCCCATCACCTCTAACAACAGCCTGAGCAACTTCACAGGGGCAAAAATACAGCCCTAAAGGACAACAATTTGTTTTTTCCCAGATGCTGCTTACCCTGCCCAAGGGATCACGGATTAGTGCTGCCACATCCCTTCGTCCCTTCGCTGAGTTACTCTTGCTGGGATGATGGGTCTGGGAAGCAGTGGGAGGGGCTTCACGTCCATCACCAGCAACCCACTTTCTCCATACTCTACCCGAAAAGACAGTTCAAGATCTATGGGCCTTGAATTTAGAACTCTGACTTCCAGAGAATTAGAGACCTCAAACAGAATTTCCAATGTTAACTATACCTCAATTTAAAAAGAAAGAATTTTGCAATCCAACTCATTCTGGGAGTCTTCAATGTGATTCTTTTACCCTTTAGCCCCAAGTACTGGTCTCCATTGTGACCTCTGTCAGATCTCCTTGAAAGTGCGAGCTTCACAATTATGAAAATTTTCATACCCATGTTCATTCCTGAGTCTCATCTCTCATGACCTCCCAAGTTTACCTACCTCACCATTTTCCAAAGGTATAATCCGGGAGTATTCAGTGGTGCAAAGCACATCATCATCTCGGGCGACAGCCATATTTGCCGCCTGCCCAAATTGTTCCCAACAGTCTCTTTTAGAATCTAGAAAGGAAACATTTAATGCTGTCAAATAAAATACTATAGCCTTGATGTAAATCTCTTAAGAAATCTTATGTTTCCCTAAGAAAATACATAAATAGGGAAAGAACAGAGAAGTATTGAAGATTTTTAGACAAAAGCTTAGACCGAGGTTTTTACATCATGAAAGAAAATACCAAGCCACTTGACTTTCAAAAACAATGTTTGAAGATGTGGTTCTACATCCTCACTGATGAAGCAAATTTACCCTCCAAGGAGCATTCACGGAAAACCCAATGCCCTTGTAAGTGAAATTCCTGTCCAGCTCAAGTTCATCACAGGGTTCATCACACTGACATCCTTCATTAGTGAAGATGACAGGGTCAAGGTAAGTTATATGAAATGCAGGATCCATGAATGAAAGCTGGTTTCTAATTCTGCATAAAAGGAAAGGACTGCAGCTATGGCTCAGTTACAGGCACACTGTTTCCAAATCATGGCAAGAACTGTTAACACAAGGGCATTTTAACCTCAGTTCTGCATGTGTATACTTGCGATTAATGCACACATGCTTGGGAAATAGGGCTGTTTTAAGGGGAACCCAGAAAGTTAAAACTGACCAATCCCTAACTAGCCACATGGAGAGACAAATTTCCTAGTTAAATCCAAAGTCTTAATCTGTTGCAAATAATTAAAGTCCCTTATAACATGGTAGGCAAGGTTACTTACGAGCAAAATACTGCCAAGGTGAGTAGGTGCTCCCAAAGTCTAGAGATCTTTCCAAGACCCAAAGATCAGGACGAGGAGAATTTGCAAACTTGATTAAAATATAGGCCACATGGAAAAGCTGATAAAACAAAGGAGATACAATTATTGAAGTCACCTCGTCTGTCTACGACCTTGATTGTCTCTATGTGATGCTGATTCCCAAGTCAATACATATAGCCACACCTCTCCCAAGATCCAGATTCCATTCTTACCTGTCTGTTCAACGTCTCTGCCTGGGTTCAGCTTGTCAAGCTTATTATATCCAAAACCAAAATTACCACTTGTCAAATCTACACATTAATCTTTGTCACATCTTAATCATTATACTTTGAATTTCAGCTAGCTGACACAGCATTTTACAGTCTGTACATTCAGAGAATTCTGATGTCAAGCAGCAGTCATTGTCAAGTACCCTCCCCCCATGCACAACCTGTTCATTTAATAATTTCTGATTTAATCATTACTATGTTCTGGGTACTATGATAAGTCCCTCTCACACATTCTTGCCTTCAGGCCTCACAATAATGAGGACGAGGGAAATGTTACTTAGTTAAGTAACCTGCCCACATGTTGCAGGTGTAAAAATCCTGAAACTATGTGTATCCTACTCACTGGCCATTAGCTATGCCACAGACCTAATTGGTACTGAATATGTGACCTCTGTCACCTTAGGGGAAATGAATCGTCAGAAAGCTCCAAATGTCATTATTTCCAAATATTCAAAGTTTCCATTATAGGGAGCCTGGAGGCGGGAAGGTGTATTTTGAATAATACATCTCGAGGGTTATTTGAATGCAATGGTTTTCCAAAAGTGCACTTACTAAAAATCCAAATAAATGAAATAGCCCCAATAGCTCAGAAGACCACTCTCTATTTCTCTTTGTCAGGTTCTGAGATAATGTGTGATCCCTTTGATGCAACACAGCAAAAATTCCAAATCTAGCAGCAGATGGAGACACCGTGGTGGCCACTCTACTTGTTAGATGAGCCTGCCACCCAGGCCTAATTTAATAAGCCTTTTGATTCCACCAACTCATCTTCCAGCACCTATCAGAGAGGGCATTCCACTTTAAAATATTTCCCTCTCCCACTGGCTGGTGTGGCTCAGTTGATTGGAGTATCATCCCATAAACCAAAAGGCCATGGGTTCAATACCCAGTCAGGGCACATGCCTAGGCTGCAGGTTTGGTCCCTGGTCAGAGCATGTTAAGACAGGCAACTGATCAATGTTTCTCTCTCACTTAGATGTTTCTCTCCCTCTCTTCCCCTCTGTCAATAAGCATGTCTTTGGGTAAGGATAAAAATAAATAAAATAAAATGAAAAAAAAGTCTCCCCTCCATTTTTGTCTTAGGAACCTGTTTATGTGCCCTGACCACTGGAAGGCTGCATTTCCCTTTTTTCTGAGCCCACGAGCACTAACACCCTATGTGTTCTGGATCATCTCCACTGCTGTGGAACTCGCAGCCAGTTCTTGCCAAGTGCTCCAGCTCTACGGTAAATCTCTGAGATGAGCAGATTCAAGTGTCACTGTGAGTCAGCATGAGTGCTGTCCAAAGAGGGTTTACAGCTGGCTCATGCATGTTAAACCAACAGTTATGGGTTTATTCTCTTGTGCTTGATAATTTAAAATTACATGCTTTTTAAATGGCTCCCTCTGCTAAACTCCTATTATCAGTTACTTATGTTTGCTCTTTGATCATTCATAATATTTCAAAGCATGCATGACCCACACTTGAGATTCACTGATGTCAACAAAGGCCCTTTATGAAGCTGGAAATCACTAGACAATGGAGTCACTGGAAGCAGAAAAGCAATGGCAGAGTTGTGTATTTTCAGAGAAATAACACCTACACACACACACACACACATTTAAAAGAATCACTGAAAGTAAGTTTCAGACACCATTATGGCAGCATGTTTCTTCCAAGAACACAGATATTTCTCTTTCATAAACTCAACACTTTGACACTTGATAAATTTTACCATTAATACAAAAATCTTATCTAACGCACTGTCCATATTCAAATTTTCCTGATTCTTCTAATAACAGCTGTTGTATACTTCCAATTCAGGATCCAGACAAGGATTGTATACAGCATTTACTTCTGAAGTCTCTCTTGTCTATTTTAATCAAGAGTAGTCTTTCCACAGTTTTGTCTCACCTGACATTGACATTAGAATGAGTCCAGGTCTTTTCTATCACAGCATGTTCTGCAACCTGACTTTGTCTGATCACCTTCTCAGGATCTGGTTCAGGGTGAGCATTTTGGCAGGATTACTATCTGTGTGATGTGTCCTTCTCATGCCATCGTGCCAGGGGGCACATGAAGCCAGGCTGTCCTCTGATCAGTGATGCTATGTCTGACCACTTGTCTAAGAAGACGTCTGCTATATTTCCCCATTATAAAGTCACCTTTTAAATTTTTTCATTAATAAGGAATCCATGGAGAGGCATTTTAAAACATTTTTACTAACTAAATTATAAACCTTTCCCACTATCCATATAAAAATATAAATGCAAATTATGAAAAATAAGTCCCAAAATAAGGAACCAAATGATTAAATTTCTTTTGTGGCTGATGTCCTTTGAAAAATTTATCTAATGAGCTAATTTCATAGAAATGCTTTAATTGAGAAGGAAAGATGCAGATCAAGTGAAATTAAACTCCATTTTAGTAATCTTGTTTGAAAACATTTCACAAAATGAAGTACAGTCCTCACAAAACAGTCAAGGTCAGTGATGAAAATACAACTCAGCTGAAAAAGCATCCTGTTAATCCCGGTCCAAAGAGCACACCTGCCAATAGCTTGGCGAGGGCACTTCTTTCCTGTGGGTTTATCACCACCATTTACTATAAAGCCCAGACCCCGGGCCCATCAAAAAGCGTATGCGGGGAGGAAAGTCACTTTGTCCCTCAGACCCTCTTAGTGTTTCCTAGAAGCCCCTGGTCACCTGCAAGGAGAGAAGGTAGATCACCCTAGAAATGTACAGGAAACTTGCATTATACCTTCTATAATATTCCAGTCTCCTCCCCTTGGCCAATATCTTTCTGCCTAAAGATTATTATCATTGCTTACCTGCACTCATAATGGTCCCATTCTACTTTTGCTTGTCATATCTATTTCTTACCTTGGGTCAACCTTTCACTCAGGGTAAGAAACTTTACTCCACAATCTCTTTTTGAGAAGAAACCCACTACACTCCTGACAAGATCAGGCCATTACATGTTTCCTGGGTGTTTTGTCTTGTAGGTTTTCCTCCTAGCCTTCGGAGTAGCACAGATTTCCACTATTTATCCCACATGACAGCCTGCCCAGGATTTCAATACCAACACCGCATTCCCATGGGCTTTTTTAAAAAAAAGGTGGTAAGATTCAAGTCAGCAGGAATCAGAGATTTAGGGTAGAACCTGAGAGGGAGAGGAGAATTGGAGTTTCTCATCTCTCATTTCCTCACTGAAAATAACCACGACATCCTGAGAAATAAAACCCCTAAACCAAAATTAACTCTAAAGATTTGGATCACTCAAACAACTTGGAAAATGATAAGCCACTATTTTTAATGGAAAATTTCAATAAAAATAATCAAAACAGGAGGAAAGGTAAAACATATTCACCTATATGTTGTTACTGATAAATTCCTAACTCGGGAGAAAAAAGTGATGGATGACACATAGCATGATTTTCACTACCTGTGGATGTGAATCATTATTCCTTAAAGTGGACTCGAAAGTGCAGGGCTTCAGACCGAAATGTATTATTCAAGAGCATTTTACCCATGACTAGCAACTTATAAATAGGTTTGGTGGTGATTTAAAATAAGCTGAAGCCCACTGGGATTCAAGAACTCAGCTCTATTTTATGTCAAGTTTTATATTTTATCCTACTCTCTGTAGTTACTCTCACTGTCAGGGATTTTTTTTTTTTTTTGTCCAGAGCCTGATTCTTCTCTCAAAACTCAGTTTTTCACATTCATGCTTTTTTGCTAATTTATAAGAAAATTAGGTATAACATTTGGTTCAACCACTGGACTAATAAGTAGCCTAAGAAACTGCTGACAAACCATACAGGACAGTGGAATTTATATAGTCATGTTCTTCCAAGGCAAAGAGATTTAAGTAACTCAGCTTTAATAACCGGTGACCAAGCTCTCTGCATCCTCCTCCCCTGTGTTCTTCTAGACTCAGTAATCACTAAAAATAAATTGATTTCTATAGGTGACTTACACCCAGGTAGGCTTCAATGAGATATTTTTCAGTGACAATTTGTTCTAAATCAGCTCCCAAATGATGTTATCATTTTTCATAAATAATTTCACACCTTCTATAATGTTCCAATCTTCTCCCCTTGGCCAATATCTTTCTACCTAAAGATTATTATCATTTTTGACCTGCACTCTAACGGCTCTGCCCTACTTTTGCTTGTCGTATCTGTTCCTTTCACCCTCTGTCACATCTTCCTTAACTTCAGCATCATGACTTTTACCAAGGCTATGTCAGAGTTTTAATGGAGGCTAAAATTACCCTCTTGGCTGTGCATGTCTGTAGGGCATAATGACAATCACTTAAATTGACTCAGCATATTTTCTATCAGTCAGCATAAATTTTGAGGGGAGAGGGGAATGAGCTTTAAGCTGAAGTGTCATTTCCAATCAGCTGGGTCACAGATTAAATATTCTTTTTTAGAATTTGGTCTTTGATCAAAAGCTGTCTTTACTCTCTGAACTAAATCCCTTAGCATGGTAGGTCTCAAAGGGGGTGGTATCACCCTCTGGTGTATATTATTGGTTGTCACAATAACAAGACCAACAAGGAGACAGACCATGTATTTCAGAGGGGTCAGCCTGGACCCTGAGACATACCACAGCTAGTTCTGAGTGAGGAGGCTGCTCTCTGGGTGCTTGGCTCTGACTGATACAAGGGACTTGCACTGCCATGCAGGGTGATGCCAGAGCGGGGAGGTGTTGCCTTCAGTTGGTGAGACTTCTGAGGATCTGAATGTCGTCTCCACTTTAAGGATCTTGCTGGGAACAGACTGGACCTCCACATTTAAAAGTGGAACATGCCAGCTTTTCCGGC